TTTGCTGTTGGGTGTGGCCTATTATGCTAATGAGTTCCTGCTGGGCGTGGCCAACTCGGGAGCCAGCCGGAACTCCGTTCCTGTGCATTCCTGCCCAAAAATAGCCCTGGTTTTTCCGAAGATCCAGTTGGTACCTTCCCACCCTTAATGTCAACCCATCGCTGCGAGTCCTCTCCTCTGCTGCCCACAGGAACAGCTCCCTGCCCTCCTCCTCTAAACGACAGCCCTTCAAAGACTTCAAGAGAGCAGTCATGTCCCCCCCCCCAACTTCCTCTTTTCCAGACTGAACATTCCCAAGTCCCTCGGCCTTTCCTCACAGGCCTTGGACTAGGGTTACGGTGACCCTGTAGGGTTTTCAAAGCAAGAGACATTCAGAGGTGCTTTGCCGTTGCCTGCCTCGGCGTCACGACCCGGGTATTCCTTGATGGCCTCACATCCAAATACGGATCTGGGCCAGGCCTGCTTAGCTTCTGAGATCTGATGAAATCAAGCTAGCCTGCGCCACCCAAGGTCAGGACTAGCCACAGATCTCCCACTCCCCAATCCTTCCTTGACTTTGTGATAGAATTGCCAACTCCGGCTTGGGAAATACCATGATATTTGGCCTGCGGAGCCTGAGGAGGTGTTTAGGGAGGGGAGGGACCTCAGCAGGGTATGAAAAAGTCTGGTAATGAAAAAATATACAGATGTGTGCCAGACGCCCACAGAACACAATAACAAAAGAGACTAGATTAAAGCCATAACGTCATTTAGTGTCTGGTAATAAAAAAACAACAACCACTTATTCCTTCATAGAAAAAATACAAAGGTCAATAAAACTTCACACAGCAGTCTGCTCCGGACTATTTCAACCTATATTCCTCTAACAGTCTTGTATCCTTATCCAAATCCCCCAAAGCCGTCGGCTCCAAATTCATTCAATCTGTCTCTCTCCTTTCTGTCAGCACTTTTTCCGGATATCTACGTGTTTCAGACCTCTGGTCTTTCCTCAGGAACAAATCCTATACAGGACTCTTACATTCGGTTTTACATTCAAGTTGACACTTTCATAGATTTACTTTTCCATTAATCTATTTGGGCAAGGTCTCCTCACTTATTTCCAAGCAGGCTGATGCTGCCGCCAAAGTAAAATAGACCCACACTATGCCACAAATGCCATAGACTCCACACCCCCAAGCAGCTATTTTCTCCAAGAGAACTGATCTCTCTAGGCTGGAGTTCAGTTGGCATTCTGAGAGATTCTGGCCCTACCTGGAGGTTGGTGACCCCACTCCAAGAGCTATCGCCAACCACGCAGTTTGGCTCGGAGGCCTTCCCAGCATTCATCAACATTCACTTTGACCTGCAGAGTCCCCACACTGGACACAGTCAAACCTCTTGTGGCAGAAAAGAGAAAAGGAAACCGTCTTTCCCACAGGGCCCGGTCAAATGCCACGGCGCACTGACCCCTACGGCCGTGGGGCTCAGCAGAGAGCCAATTCACGCGCAGCCCGTCCTCTCACTCCTCGCCCAACTCGGACAATTATCTTCTTTGTCCTTCTTGAAGTTCAAGTGCTTTTCAGTTTTTTGTCTAGAGGAACCGCAGCTGAGGCAAGAGAGAAAGGACAATTGCCTTCCGGAAGGAAAAAAAATTAAGCACATGGAGAGCCCCCTCCGGAACGCTCTCGGCTAGCCAGAGGGCAAATTAAGGCATTAAAATGCTTCAGCAGAGAAGCGGGGGACTGTTCTCAGGCCTGGAGCGTAGCTTTGCCGTGGGGCAGAATACCTGCAACCATCGTGTGTGCGTCTGTGCGTAGAAATGCCTGCAAAGACTGTTCGTGTATTTGTGCTTATGTGCAGAAATCACCCTACGTGAACGTGGGTTCTTCACTGTAACCATTTTAGTAGACAAGGTGTGGCGGTAGACAAGGCCCTGAAGTCACAGCTGACTTACGGAGACCCTTTATGTGGTTTTCAAGGCAAGGGACATACAGAGGTTGTTGGCCATGGCCTGCCTCTGCATAGCAACCCTAGACTTCCTTGGTGGTCTCCCATCCAAGTACCAACCAGGCCGACCCTACGTAGCTTCCGAGATCCGATGAGATTGTGCTATCCTGGGCCACCCAGGCCAGGGCAAGGGACATTCAGAGGTAGTTTTTCATTGCCTGCCTCTGCATAGCCACCCTGGACTTCCTTGGTGGTCTTCCATCCAAGTATTAACCAGGGCTGACCCTGTGTAGCTTCTGAGATCTGATGAGATCAGGGCTATCCTGGGCCACCCAGGCCAGGGCAAGGGACATGCAGAGGTGGTTTGCCCTTGCCTGCCTCTGCAGAGCCACCCTGGAGTTCCTTGGTGGTCCCCCATCCAAGTATTAACCAGGGCCGACCCTGTGTAGCTTCTGAGATCTGATGAGATCAGGGCTATCCTGGGCCTCCCAGGCCAGGGCAAGAAACATGCAGAGGTGGTTTGCCCTTGCCTGCCTCTGCAGAGCCACCCTGGAGTTCCTTGGTGGTCCCCCAGCCAAGTATTAACCAGGGCCGACCCCGCTTAGCTTCCGAGATGTGATGAGATTGTGTTCGCCTGGGCCATCCAGGTCAGGTCATTGACATGCAGAGGTGGTTTGCCACTGCCTGCCTCTGCGTAGCCACCCTGGACCACTTTGGTGACCTCCGGTCCAAGTACTAAGCAGGCCCGACCCTGCTTGGCTTCCGAGATCTGACGAGATCAGGCCAACGTGGGGTGCCCAAGTCAGATCCGACAAAGGGAGAGAAGCAGACATGCGTGCAAGCTGTTCAACACTCCACGTCGTCTGTGTTTTCCTTCAACAGATGAACAGTGAAAGATAATAGACTGCTTTGATCTTTTCCTGTTGCCCGGGAGGGGGCAGAGAGAGAGAGGGGGGAGAGAGGGGGGGGGGGGGGGGAAGACATCTCCACTGAAGGCACCACTGCAACTAAAGCCGGAATTAGCTTGAATGAGAGATGTTAAAGAAGAAGAAGAAGAGGTTGGATTTATACCCCGCCCTTCACTTGGAGTCTCTGAGCGGCTTACAAACTCCTTTCCCTCCCCCTCCCCACAACAGACACCCTGTGAGGTGGGTGGGGCTGAGAGTACTCTGACACAAACTGTTCTTTTTCAAGGACAGCAGTGCCAGAGCTTGTGACTGACCCAAGGTCATCCAGCAGCTGCAAGTGGAGGAGTGGGGAATCAAACCCGGTTCTCCCAGATTAGAGTCCGCGCACTTACCACTACACCAAACTGGCTCTCTCACCACACCAAATCACTACACTCGAACTGGCTAAAGCCGGTGGGGGGGAATTGAATTTTTCGGAGGGGGACCCTTCCCGCCTCCAAGGACTTTTTTCCATCTCCCCATCAGAAGCATTACGAACCCTTCAGGGAACATTGAGGAAAGACTCCTGTGAAATACGTTCCTTTCGTTCTTTGGGGAGAAGTACATGCTAATGGCATAAGGTAGGGCAGTTGAGAGCTCTCGCCCCTGTAGCAACGGGTCTGTTTCTGCAGCTTGGCTTTCAGAAGTCTCAGACGTTTGTACTTTTCAATCCCACAGATATGCCAATTGACACCATCGCAGATGCGAACTTACAACTGTTGCGTTTTAGGTTGTTCAAGCAGCAAAACAGGGCAGGGTTCAAGAGGAAGATAAGTATTACCTATATTCTGCGCGCAAGGAAGACTGAAAATGGTCCCATAATATTATCACATTACCAAACAAAAGCTGAGGTTCTAACTACAATTCAGTACCGGCGCTGCCAATACAGAAGATACGATCTCCTCTTGAACTAAGAGGCTAGAAACCTCAGTTTGCCTGTCTTCAAGGAAATTAAGCTACAATGCATGGCTGCAAGTAGGACAAGAAAGACCACCTCAGTCTTTGTATAATACACAATTAACAGTTCAACTGTCAGAGGCAACGTGGTGTAGTGGTTGGAGTACGATAGCCGAGGGCTGGGTTCAAAACCTCAGCCAGACATGAAGCTTACTGGATCAGTCACACAAGAAGCTGCCTTATACTGAATCAGATCATTAGGGTCAGTATTGTCTACACAGACTGGCAGTGGCTCTCCAGGGTCTCGGCCTGAGGTCTTCCACATCACCTGCTTCCTGGTCCTTTTAACTGGAGATGCCGGGGACTGAACCTGGGACCTCCTGCATGCCGAGCAGATGCTCCATCACTGAGCCACTGAGGACTTTCACATCACCTACTGCCTGGTCCTTTTAACTGGAGATGCCGGGGACTGAACCTGGGACCTTCTGCATGCCGAGCAGATGCTCCACCACTGAGCCACTGAGGACTTTCACATCACCTACTGCCTGGTCCTTTTAACTGGAGATGCCGGGGATTGAACCTGGGACCTCCTGCATGCCGAGCAGATGCACCATCACTGAGCCACTGAGGACTTTCACATCACCTACTGCCTAGTCCTTTTAACTGGAGATGCCAGGGATTGAACCTGGGACCTTCTGCATGCCGAGCAGATGCTCCACCACTGAGCCACTGAGATCTTTCACATCACCTCCTGCCTGGTCCTTTTAACTGGAGATGCCGGGGATTGAACCTGGGACCTTTTGCATGCCAGGCAGATGCTCTACCACTAAGCCTTCCCAGTCTCTATTGTGCAGCCTAACTTACCTCAAAGGGTTGTTGTGAGGATAAATGGGGGAAGAGAGTCACGTCCACCACCACCCTTGAACGTCTTGGAGGACAACTTAGTTCTCTCCCCCCTAGTTCCTGGCTAGTTGACAAACAAGAAACTTGCAAAGGGCACTGCTGGTCTTCCATTTTGGAGGTGACAACTAGCCAGCCGGAAGAGCAGCTGCTACGGAGATCGAGACTTCAACACGAGACACAAGAAAGTTCGCCCTTAACGGTACAGGCCTCAAAATATCAGGACTGATGAAGACTTCAAGATATCTCCAGTCACTACCAATACAACGAGAGGCCACAAGAACATTACTGCTACGATTCGCAATCCATCTGGTCAGGTCGGTGTCTTACCTTTGGCCGTTTCCACTGTATACCCTGAATCTGTGACTTGTAAAAAAGGGAATAATTGTTGGCTGGGAAAAGGGGATCCTCAAAGAGAACATTCCTCCGTTGGCAGTCCTTCTTCAGGGCCGCGTACCGCTGGTTTTCATACGGCTGTGCGGACGAGAACATTTTTTCTGGCAGCTGCTTGATGGAAACAAAAAACAACAACAAAAAAACTGGTAATTCAATAAAATGTTCAGAGCAGAATCTTTTAGAGCTTCATTTAGTTACTGGACTTTAAGTGTCCCCCCCCCCCCCCCCTTTTTATTTAAAATTCCCTCTTCCTCTCAGCAAAGCAGGAAAGATCCTGCAGTGAGTAGCCTGACACAGGGTTGGAGGTGGAGTGGCTCTGTATGTCAGAGAGGGTATACAGTCCAGTAAAATTGAAAATGTAAGAGAAATAGATTTGCTTACAGAAATGCTATGGGTGGAAATAGTGTGCCCAAAAGGAAGCTTAACTTTGGGTCTTTGTTATCATTCACCAGATCAAAGCTTAGAGGATGATTTAAAAACAGCAAAAGAATTAAGGAAAGCAGCCAGACGAAATAACTGTGTCATAATAGGTGATTTTTAACTACCCACACATTGATTGGGTCAATATGTGTTCAAGTCAGTGTGCAATCCATCACACCTTCCTTTTGTCATCTCAGCTGCTCCTGTCAATTCCCACAGAAAGGGCTTTCGCCTTTACGTGAGCGACTGACCTGCCAGAGGCTCCAACGCTCCCTCTAAGCTGTGGAGTCCTGTGAGCAAAAATTCTACTTTGTGAGCTGTTGGCATTAAAGTTGTGAGTGAGCAATTTGGCTCCTGCATAAATCAGTTTGCTCTGGAGCCACATCCTTCCTGACCTAAGGCAAAAATGTGTGAGCTGGAGGCTAAAAAACTGTGAGCTAGCTCACACTCACTCAGAGGGAACACTGGCCAGAACCTCTTTTGCTGTTTGGCGGCAGATAAGGGGTTCAGAGAGCCTCTGCCAATGTCTCTGCTTCAGAGAAAGTGGATGAGAAGAATTCATGGGGAGAGGAAGCTCCCGGGGTCGGGAGACACACCGGGAACATTGTGAAAGAAAACTGAAGTGATCCAAATTTGACTGACTCCTACCCCTACCACGGACAACGTTTTTTGAAGGACCAACAAAATATAGCCCGTTCAGACTTTAAAAGATAGATATTTGAGAAGCTCAAGTTTGCACCCAATATCCGCTGCCGTCCCGACCTTGCACGGAACTGGGGCATCCACAGGGCTGCCAACCTCCAGGCGGTAGAAGCCAAAAATAAGAGATCACGGGAGGAAGTGGCATTCCAAAAACAACATCCGTGACAAAGATAACGAAGATAAGTTGCAAAAACGTTTACTGTAGTGATTTCCGTAGAAAATTCTCTTTTATTATTTATCTGTTTGTTTCATTCTATTTATACCCCGCCCTCCCCACGAGCGGGCTCAGGGCGGCTTACAAAAAGGCACAAAGTGCATATGGTATAAAAAGATAAAACAGTTAAAACTCAGTACAATCAGGATGCAAGAATAGAAAGATCCAAAACATCTTGCATACCAGAAGGGGGAGGGCCAAGGCCGTAGATAGAAGTTACTCGGCCCTCTGGCGGTGTCGCTCTATAGTGGAGCGGTGGTGGCTCCTACTCAAAAGCCTGGCGGAAGAGCTCCGTCTTACAGGCCCTGCGGAACTACAAAAGGTCCCGCAGGGCCCTGATCTCTTCCGGGAGCTCATTCCACCAGATAGGAGCTGCCACTGAAAAGGATCTGGCCCTCGTTGCCACAAGCCTGGCCTCCTTAGGGCCCGGGGTCACCAGCCGGTGTTGTGACCCCGACCGAAGTGCTCTTTGGGGCATATGTGGGGAAATGTGGTCCCTCAGGTATGTCGGACCCTCACACGCTTTCGTTTCACAATATTTGCTTTATCTGTCTAGCAATCCCAATTCTTATCAATTATTACTTATCAACTCTTGAAGGAAACATTCCATGTGGACTCTCTAATAACACAACCCAAGGTCTTCACATTGCTACATGCTCAGATAAAAGCAAATATTGTGAAACGAGTTGTTTTCATTGCGCAGCATTCGTTAGCGTGTGAGCGATAACAGAAGAAAATGTTCTACAGAAATTACTACAGTAAACGTTTTTGTGATTTATCTTTATCGACTCTTTGTTATTTTTGTCACAGATGTTGTTTTCGAAATTCAACCTCCAGGTGTTGGTCGGAGATCTCTTACTGTTACAACTGATTTCCAGGCGACAGAGATTAGTTCAAGTTGGACACCAGTTTGGTGTGGGAGCCAGTTTGGTGTAGTGGTTAAGTGCGCAGACTCTAATCTGGGAGAACCGGTTTTGATTCCCCACTCCTCCACTTGCACCTGCTGGATGACCTTGGGCAAGCCCTAGTTCTGATAAGAGCTGTCAATGAAAGAACAGTTTCTGTCAGAGCTCTCTCAGCCCCACCTACCTCACAGGGTGTCTGTTGTGGGGGAGGGAAAGGAGTTTGTAAGCCGCTCTGAGACTCCCTTGGGTAGTGAAGGGCGGGGCATAAATCCAATCTCCTCCTCCTGCTCCACTCTGTAAGGTGGACTCTAACTGACTGAAGTCCCTCCTCCTCCCAAACCCCACCCATTTCAGGCTCCACCCCCCAAATCTCCAGGTATTCCCCGCACCTGGAGCTGGCATCCACAGCATCCACAACGAACTGGATACTGCACGAATTTACACGTACCACACAACAAACCGTAACACGCTGCAGAAGGAACGACAGTTAAATTGTAAAGGAGCCAGGGAAGAATTAAGACAACACAGCAAGAGAGAAAGAGAGATCTGCCCATCTTACTCTGCAGGCCGACACAGAGGCATCTGGGCACAACATCACAAGAGACATCAGGATCTTAACAGGGCTTCTCTGACATCTTTTTTAATTAAAAAGGCTTCTTGGCTCCTAGCCAAGGACTTCCTGATTAATTACTTTCCTCTCCGTAGCAGCTGCCATCGGAAGAACAGACATGACTCCCGTTGGCCCAGAGGAAATCATCAGCATGCTCTCTCTCACACACACACGTGCATGCACAAACCCCCAATCCCAGGGGGGAGGAGGTGGAGGAGGAGGAAGAAGAAGAGGAGGAGGAAGAAGAAGAGGAGGAGGAAGAAGAAGAGGAGGAGGAAGAAGAAGAGGAGGAGGAAGAAGAAGAGGAGGAGGAAGAAGAAGAGGAGGAGGAAGAAGAAGAGGAGGAGGAAGAAGAAGAGGAGGAGGAAGAAGAAGAGGAGGAGGAAGAAGAAGAGGAGGAGGAAGAAGAAGAGGAGGAGGAGGAGGAAGAAGAGGAGGAAGAAGAGGAAGAGGAGGAGGAGGAGACGACTGGATTTATACCCCACCCTTCTGGAGGAGTGTGGAATCAAAGCCGGTTCTCCCAGATTAGAGTCCGCGCACTTAACCGCTACACCAAACGTCCAACTCCGACCTTGAAAGAACAGCTCTTAAAGAATTTGTGATGGACCCAAGCTCACGCCAGCCGCTGCAAGTGGAGGAGCGGGGAATCGAACCCGGTTCTCCCAGATTAGAGTCTGCACTCTTAACCACGACACCAAACTGGCTCTCAGGAGTCAGAGGATCTGTGACTTCTCCTCCTGTACTAAGAGGCTAGAAACCTCAGTTTTGCCTGTTGCTCTTGCAAAGCCACTCAGGGTCTGTTCCCATACAAGGGGGAAAAATCAGGATCCTACCCAGTTCCCAATCGCCTGATGTCCCATAAGGTTACTAGTTCTAGGTCAGGAACATTCCTAGAGATCTGGAGGATGGAAAAGCTGTGGGGTCTTGTGAGCGAAAATTCTCCTTTGTGAGATACTGGCATTAGGAGAAGAAGAGATTGGATTTATACCCTTCACTACCCGAAGGGGTCTCGGAGCAGCTTACAATCTCCTTTCCCTTCCCCTCCCCACAACAGACACCCTGAGAGGGAGGTGGGGCTGAGAGAGCTCTTTCGAGAACTGCCCCTGAGAGAACAGCTCTGAGAGAACTTGTGACTGACCCACGGTCACCCCAGTGGCTGCATGTGGAGAAGTGGGGAAATCAAACCCGGTTCTCCCAGATTAGAGTCCGCGCTCCTAACCACGACACCAAACTGGCTCTCATCAAAAGCTGTGAGCGAGCGATTCGGCTACGGCATAAATCAGTTTTCTCTGGAGCCCTCCTTCCCGAGCGAAGACAAAAATCTGTGAGCTGGAGGCTAAAAAACTGTGAGCTAGCTCGCACTAACTCAGCTTAGAGGGAACACCGGAGGGGAGGGGATGATACCACAGATTTCCCCCCTCCCCCCCTCCAAAGCAGCCATTAGCTTCAGGGGAACCGATCTCTGTAGTATCAGTTGTAATTCCAAGGGATCTACAGGCCCCATCTGGAGGTTGGCAACCAGACATGTGTCAACTGTATTTTAAGTTGCTACTTTCTTACCTTCCCCCCCCCATATCAGGTTGCCAACCTGATATCTGCCAGATCTTGTTCTTTTTCTATCTCAGTATAAGCTACAAGGAGGAGGAGATTTATGGCCCACCCTTCACTCAGAGTCCCAGAGCGGCTTACAAACTCCTTTCTCTCCCCACAGCAGACACCCTGGGAGGTAGGTGGGGCTGAGAGAGCTTTTTCCAGAACTGTCCTTGAGAGAACAGCTCTGACAGAACTATGGCTCGCCCAAGGCCATCCAGCAGCTGCAAGTGGAGGAGTGGGGAATCAAACCCGGTTCTCCCAGGTTAGAGTCCGTGCACTCAACCACTACACCAAACCTGTGTATAACCTACTGATCTCCACCAATCACTGCCATTTATAAGCAAGGCTATCTATATAGCCGTAAGGGCTAGAACCTTGCTTTCAAAAGACGAGGGAGAAATAGCAGAGAGAGAGAGAGAGAGAGATGCTGAATTTTGTCCCAAAATGTTGACTGCCCCATCTGGCTTATGATATCTATACCGGTCTTCTGGCAAAACTCCAAAATAAGTGGCCTGATTTTGATGAGCCATATTTTGATAGACTGCAAAAGTGCTGCAGGCCGTTAAGGCTAGGATGGGCCTTTGCCCAATTTTGTGAATTCTGATAAGAGTTTTCTACGGTGTAAGAATCAGAGGCATTCCAATTCCTGTAAGAGATATATTGA